CACAAGAGGGATGTTTGTTTCAAGTGTGGTGAGCCAGGACACATGGCTTATCAATGTCTAAAAAAGAACAACCTACGTATTGGGGGCAGAAGATGAGGACAAAGAGCAACCACACGAGGATACCAATGAAGAGAATTCGTTTAATTATAGAACATATATCGCTGATGATTTGGAGGAAGACAAAGATGATACTTCTTTTCTTTCCGTTGTGAAACGCATTCTAGTTGCCCCTAAAGTGTAGTAAGAAGATTGGCGGCGCACTTCTATTTTTCAGATGCTGGTTCGTTGTAGAAATTAAGCTAAAAAGCTTATTATTGATGGTGGAAGTTGTATGAATGTTGTGTCGGCATCCACAGTTGAACATCTTAAACTTCCAGTGGAACCATACCCTCAACCATACAAAGTAGCTTAGATTAATAAAACTTCTATACCGGTAACTCAACGATGTCTCGTTTCTTTTTCTTGTGAAAAATACAATGACTTCATATTATGTGATGTGATTCCTATGAAAGTCACTCATATCCTTCTTGGTCAACCTTGGCTCTATGATCGAGATGTCAAGCATTATGGGAGAGAAAACACTTACACTTTTCTATTTGGAAAGATGACTATTGTTTTGAAGCCTATGTCATGTGATGATATAAAGAAATATGAATAATCGAAGCCCAAGTGTGTTGTTAAGGGCAAGCAAAGGCCTATTCACCTCTTGTCAAAGAAACAATTTGAATTGGAAAGCAAAGGCCCAAACGTTATTTATGCTATAGTGATTAAAGAAGTGAAGAAATCTCTTGCTGCTGCTAAACTTGATATGCCTTTTGAAGTACAAAAGTTACTGTCCCAATTTTCTGAGGTAGCTCCGGAAGAGTTGCCTAATGAGCTCCCTCCCATGCGTAGTGTCCAGCACGCAATAGATTTTGTACCGGGCTCTCAATTGCCTAATCTCCTAGCATATTGCATGAACCCAAGTGAGCATGCCGAGCTAAAAAGACAAGTGGATGAGTTGCTATCCACATAGAAACGATTGAAGATTTAGCCCCCGATTTGAAGTCCGCAGACCATTTAACGAATCTGAAGAGATAATCTTTGATGTACATTGCATCTTTCAACTAAAGCTTAAGGTAATCCTCTGGATTTGCCCCTTGGTTCAATCTTTGATGTACATTGTATGAAGAAGGGGCACTTCAATTGAACCAAGGTTGCCTCTCGAGCTTTTGAAGATATCAAGAAGAGAATGACAAAAACTCCAGTTTTGCGACTTCCAGATTTTTCAAAGGTGTTCGAGGTAACATATGATGCATCACATGTGGGAATTGGTGGCGTACTTAGTCAAGAAGGTCATCCTATTGCTTATTTTAGCGAGATGTTGAATGAGGCCAAACAAAAGTACTCCACTTACGACAGAATTTTATGTCGTGGTGCAAGCACTTCATTATTGGCGACATTGTCTCATTCCCATGGAATTTGTATTATACTCTGACCATGAAGCACTTAAATATATCAAATCCCAAAAAAAATGGAATCATCGACATAGAAAGTGGATTTCTTTTCTACAAGAATATACTTTTGTGATCAAACATAAGCAGGTGTTGAGAATAAAGTAGCTTATGCACTAAGTCGAAAGGTGCTTATGCTCTCCCCAATGGCTATACAAGTGGTAGGCTTTGATTTACTTTGCAAGGATTTCTGCAATATATATCCTAATTTGAAGGTTGGACAGCATGCAGCATATTCGGATTTTTCCTCGCATAACGGTTATCTCTTCAAGGGAACTCGTCTTTGTTTGTCCAACACATCTCTACGTGAACAAGTGATTCGAGAACTACATTCTGGAAGGGCAACAAGTCATTTTGGAAGAGATAAAACCATTTTCATGATTGAAGACCATTATTATTGGCCAAGTTTGAAGCGAGATGTAGCCAAAGTTGTCTCTTGCTGTCGGACTTGTCAAATATCAAAGGGAAGGAAGAAAAAAACAGGTTTGTACATGCCATTACCTGTTCCTCATGAACCATGGCAAGACTTAAGTATGTACTGTGTCCTAGGGTTGCCACGAACCTTTCGGGGTCATGAGTCTATCTTTGTGGTGGTAGATCGATATTCGAAATTGGCTCATTTTATTCCTTGTTCAAAGATATCCGATGTTATCCATATTGCTAAAATTTTCTTTAAAGAAGTTGTTCGTCTTCATGGGTTACCTAAAACAATTGTCTCAGACTGTGATGTGAAATTTATGAGTTACTTTTAGATAACTTTATAAAAATTACCGAATACAAGACTGAAGTTTTGCTCCACTTTTCATCCTCAAACTGATGGGCAAACGAAGGTTGTTAATCGAAGTTTGGGCAATCTCCTTCGCTGCCTTGTTGGTGATCATGTTGCTAATTGAAACCAAGTACTTCCTATGGCTGAATTTGCTTGTAACAGCTCTATTAATCGATCTACAGGTCACAGCCCCTTTGAGAGTGTAACAGGTTTACTTCCTAGGAAACCAATAGATTTGGTTCCCTTACCCATAGAGGCTCATCCTACTGTTGAAGCTAATGTTTTTGCCAAACACATGCATGAGATACATGATGATGTGTGACGAAGGATTGCAACAAGCAACGACAGCTATAGCTACAAAGCACATGTTGATTTGAGAAAAAAGTTTGCTGAATTCAAGGAAGGAGACATGGTTATGGTTCGTATTAGGCCTGAAAGGTATCCTAAGGGTGCATACAAGAAGCTTCATTCAAAAAGTGCTGGCCCTTACAAGATTATGAAGAAAATAACTCTAATGTCTATGTTCTTAACTTGCTAGAAAATATGGAGATAAATAATTATCTTCAATATTGAGGATCTTACTTTATCTCGCGGGTATGATGATGATACACCTACAGATGTTACTGTTGCTAAACTTCCATCAGCTCCACGGGTGAAAGAAGAGATTGAAGATGTTATGGATCATCAACTTGTGTCTACTAGAGCCTAAAGGAGGAGGCTATCAGAAGTATCTCATCAAATGGAAAGGGCGTCCACTTTCTGATTGCACGTGGATCACCGATAATGAGTTCCAATGCCTAAACTCTAACTTCTATGAATGGTTCTATGCATTTAACTCCCCGGGGTCAAGTTTTTTTAAGCTGGGGAGAGATGATGGGGACAAATGACAACAACCTTATAAAGTTTATAAAATGCGAGGAAAAGATGCTTCCAAGCTCAAGCTTTAATTTGGCACATGTTGGATGATGTGAAGCCTACTTGGGAGCTTGCATAAGCATAAATATAGTCTTATTTTTAGTTGCTTTGATTTAGTTTAGTAGTATTAGTGTTTTATGTAATTTTTTTTATGTTTTAGAGTCAGGGGTATTTTTGTAATTTCTAAAATTTCTGGAGCAAGTCATATGTTTGGGTCAAATTCTAATGTTGAATATTCTAGAATTTAAAGTTCTAGTTCTAGTTAATTTTAGTTTTCTAATTTATAGGGACTTAGTGTCTTTGGAGTCTTAGAGACTTTGGAATCTTAGGGCTTGTTTGGTTTGGTTTTCAAAAACAATTTTTTATTCTCAAAACTCTAAAAACAAGAAAGATGTTATTTGTTTAGCTTTTTTGTTCTCCAATTTTTTAAAAAATTTTAGAAAATGAGATATGATTTTAGAGAACAACAAAATTATGTTTTGAGTTTTCAAGGTAAAATATAAAACAAAAGACATAGCTCATCCTCTTTAATGAAGTCCACCTATCAAACTTCCTTAACAGTCAAATACATTTTTTTCGTTGAAGTATAAAAGCCCTTCACTTAGGGCCTGTTTTCTCCATCTCCTCTCTCTCTCTCTCTGCAACGACGCTGTGCAACGAAGATAGAGATCTCTAGCGAAGACGAAGACAAAGATCTCCACCCTCTCTCTCTTTGTGCAGTTCCTACTCTTTAATGAAGATGAAGACTAGGCCTGTGTTTTTTCTGCATCTGGGTTCAACACACACACACACACAAATTTCCGGTGTCTTTTCCGTTCTCTATCTGTGTGCTCAAATCTGTGTGTATGGGTCTATGTCTATGTGTGTATGGGTCTGGGTCTGGGTCTGGGTCTGGGTCTGTGTGTGTATGTGTGTGTGTGTTTATGTTTGTGTGTGCGGGTTTTGTGAAGACAGAGAAAGGGGAAAGAAAGATAGAGATGAAAAATTGTGGATTATTGCCCAAACAGATTTTACAATTTTTTATTCTTTAAAACTATTTTCAAAAATATATAACCAAACAGATTTTGCAATCTAAAAATTTTCAAAAATACTTTTTTAAAATTCTTCTCAAAAACTATTTTTGGATACTGTTTTTTGAGATGTAAACTAAACAGGCCCCTAATCTTTTAGGATTAGGAGTACTTGGAACTCTATATATAGTTAGTGCTACTTTTAATAAAATATAGAGAGAGAGAGATTCAAAAATTTCAACAATTACATGCTTCTAGAGTTGTGTGATGCAATTCTAATCCCAGGTGTGATGCAATTTTAACCTTAGGTGTAATGCCTAAGGAACTCTAGGAGGGATTTCTAGTCAAAGTTACTATTCACGTATACTGTTCACAACACCTATTTTTATTTTACAAAGTTGTCATACGTCACATCTTTTATGTTCTAGTCCCCTTATTGAACAATTTGTTTTTTGTGAGAACAGTTCCTCTAATAAAGATTCATTTCCTCGAGGGTTTTGAAGAGTAATATGACGCTATATCCATGCTTCTTGGCAGAAAAATTAAATTAAATTAAACATTAAATTGGCCAAAAAGTTCAGGTAACGTGAAGCTCACTAGAACAGACACATTGGCGATAAAACCAAGAGGTACAGATCAAACCAACAAGGAAATTATCCAAGATTCACGGAACATAGAATTAGACGACGCAAAAAAAAAAAAAAGGAATATTAGGGATTGAAGATACATCCATAATCCAAACAAAGATATCCAGAAAAGAATAGATCTGAGTACTCTGTGTGTGTGTGTGTGTGTGTGTATCTGTGTATGTGATCAATTAAGTAATAAAAATTTATTTTTTTTGGATAAGAAACAACTTACAATTTCTCTTTTTGTTTGTTCTATGGTTTTCTCCACTTCAGATATGTGTTGACTGAGAGCCTGTATAATAACATGTGTGAGAGAGAATATAAATAAGTCATGCATAAGTACCGTGTACAGCCATAATATAGAAGATGAAAAAACCTCATATCGCTGCAAGGCCACTCTGCGCTTCAGTGCTTTTGCCTTTGTCAGAAGATTTCTTGGCCTCAGGCTAATGGGTCGCTTATAATTCTTTCCACGATAGTAAATGAGAGCATAGCCTTTGGAGACTCTTTCTATTGTCACCAGTATCCCACCACTTTCATATTCCAACAGTTTTCCTGTTTCTTCAACAAAAGAAAGTTCTTTTTCTTTTGATATCAGCTTCACAAGCTCTCTATGCTTCCAGTGCAGATGCATGTTCTCAATAACACCATCAAAAACACCACGAATGCCTGGTGGATCGCCATATACAACCATCAATTTTTTGGCTTAATATTAAGTACACATAATAAAGTCGAGGATCAAAATTTTGTTTCGATGTTTTGATTAACTTGAAAACGAAAACGTTTCAAAAATGTCTCGGAAACATGATAGAAATTTTTTTTGAAAATCTACTTGCGAAACATTGATAGAAATATACCGAAACACACCGAAACATACCAAAATTCCTTGAAACATAAGAACTTTGAAATTCAATCGGAAATGTTTCGGATATTTCAACCGTTTTTGAAACGAAATTTAGGTCCTTGAATAAAGTATTCACATCTTTTTACTTTTCTAAATCATGAATGGATGACAACTCACCAAGGGGCAAGTACGCCTTCATTCTTAGTCCAACACTACGATACATAACCCGTTCCTCATCAGTGATTGTTTCCTGGTCATCTGAAGGACCAACAGGAACCCAGGACCCTACTATCTTAGCTAACAGTTTCTCCGCTTTAAGCTTCTTGGCCAGGGCCTATTTTGTCATTCAAACCGTAAAGTGAATAAACACCCCCCAACAATTGCTAAGCATAACTATGCCCAAGTATGAAACACTGGAACACCAAAAAACAGTAATAGTGATGCAAAACATTCCAAAGGAGAAAAACGAGAAGAAAATGCTAAAATAGACACCAAATATCCACATTTAAACAGAAGTTAGATAGGATGCCCTAGCTCCATTCTTACAGAATCAAGGCATTCAAAATCCCAGAAGCAAGCCATTTAAGCTTCTTTCACAACAAAAGAATAAACTAATAAATAACCAAAGCATTCCACCAAAAACAGGGAACTTCCTCTAAGTAGTATGTTGAGTGACTCAGTCAGTCATTTCAATCCACATTCCACTTGTGTCTTGCTTTAAAGACTGAAGTTTATTCTTGAAGGAAACTAAATACATAAAGAAGGAAACTAGAAAGTACTCCCTCCGTTCCTAAATATCTGTCGTTTTACACAATTTTTTTTGTTCCATAATATCTGTTGTTTAATGAAATCAAAGCATAATTAATAGTTTTTCTTCCAAATTTATCCTTAACTTTTCAATGCATTAGATTAGATAAAAGCTAAATGTCTTTCATATTCCTTTCCTTCCCAATACGTATTGAATAAGGGTATTTTAGCCTTGTACAATTATTTTTTACTCATATTAGAGCTATTTAATAACTTCCTTAATCCCCGTGCAAAAACCTTAAACGACATATATATAGGAACGGAGGGAGTAAAAAAGTTAAATGATTAACCAAAGAGGGTGCTTTTCAAAGAGTGAGAACTTCGCTCACATGAAAAGGGTGCAGAAGTGATTCTCCAAATGCCTTAACACCATATGTGTCAAAGGAGATCAAGAACACATACATAGCCAGGCTTATGATACCACAGATCAACATAAAAACTAGTGTAGCATCCAAATTTTTAGAAGGCATACTTACAATTGACAGTTTATGTTCAAGTCGCTTAACTACTCTAGCAGTCTTAGCTCTGGATGCTTCGATTATCATCTTCTCATGCGCTTCGGCAGATGGTTCTCTTCCCCATCGATCCTGAGCCTCATAAAACTCAGCTAAAGTACCTGCGAGTGCCTGCCCATCTTCATCCATCGCCACTGCGTCTGATGGTCCCCCCCGTACTTTCTCTTCAACATCCTGTATCTGCTTTGTCATTTCCTGTCTTTCTGCTAAAGCAGCAGCTACACTCGTTGGGAGAAAATCCTTTCCACGGTATATGACAATGTAGTATTTGTTTCTGAGCAGCAACAGACCTCCAGTCAGTTTCTGTGATATAATTTAGGTGTTAGAATCGATATGCCTTGGACTGTTCATTTCCTCAAGTCTTCTTCCTCCTCTTGTAAATACTGTAAATCTTACATGCTCAAGACATTCAAAAAATTCATCACAGGCACGCATACTACCTACTTTAGTATACCAATACATATTAATGTAAATTATACCTATGACTTTTTGAAAATTAAACCATCTTATAATTTCATAACGGCTTTGCCCGATAAAAAATAAAAATGATAAAATTTACAACATGCATATAAAATGATGAAATTCATCTATATATTGAATACATAATAGGCTAATATTACCTACAAGTGAATTACAGACTTTTATACAACTCTGGCTGGGACAACTTGTCCACCTCTCTTGCTTTCTCATCCTTCAATCTTTACACATTTGGTCTTACTACTCAATAATATTGGTAATTTGTGGTCAGAAAGAATACGTCTAGATTCAAAACTAAATTGTAAGTTCCAAGCGGCAGTATTTTAAATATTATTTAACCCTATAGGAGAACACCCCAGCATGGACTGGGTAAGGTTAATAAACCATCAAATAATCCCATTGCCTCAGACAGTGCTTGATTAACCTCAACTTTACAGAAAATTCTCTTATTTTACAATGCCTAGAAGTACAACTACATACTATCAAAAAAAGTTACAAAGGCTGCCCATGATCTGTATAGGGGTTAAACCATTAATGGCAGCTTATCTTGGCTTATAGGTATATTTTGTTAAAGCTCAATAACCACCAAATATGAACTCACAAAGGGCACCTAGAAAGCCTACCTAATTAAGAAGCAGTCAAGAGGGGCCCTACACCTCAGAAAATTTTGATTCTTGGTGACAAAAAAGATCAGCATAATGAAGTCAAGTTTGGGAAGTCAGAGGAGCTTGGTCCAATAGCAAGTAGTCATTCTAGTTCAGATACAAAGCATCATAGCACGTCCAGTGTGAAAAATCCAACATCCTAGAGTGCAGAATCGCCACTCCTCATCCGTGTCCACCTTAGAGAGAAATGATACCTATAAACTTAAATTTTTAGATGGGTTTGAGTCCTACACATGGGCCTCTTGTTGGACCTCCAGATTCCCCCAATAATAACTGGTACCAGAGGTTTGGTTTTGAGTGGGAGTGATGGCCTTAGAAGAAGGGGGAAAGTCCAATGTTGAAAGATTTAAATGGTACGAATTTTGGTTTTGGAAGATGCAGGTGGAAGATTATCTTAAATTCCTGCTAACTACAAGCCTTTTTCCCTCTTTTCTTTTGGATGCAAAAACTTAAAATGACACAAAAGATGGTTTCTGTGCTCAGAAGCAAGCTTCAAATTCCACTCCTTTGAAAGAATGTTTCCTATCAAAAAAAAAACATAAAAGCTGGTTTCTCAAAGGAGAAACAAAATGATGGAAACATTGAAGTATGACACCCTTATTTTCCGCAAACAACCTGCAGTGCTAGCTCTGGTTAGCATGTCCACATCCATGGTAAAGCTCAAGGTTGAGCCTGGTTCAACCAGAGCAAACAAAATTTTGGTTCAATGAATCCAAGCCAAGCTGCACCAGAAAGAAAGAGGCTAGTATCACATCCACAAAGGGTCATTGCCAAACAACTTGTTTTGCCATAGTCTGCAGTTTGCAATTCCCTATGGCATTTTCGTAGTCAACTATCCTACGAAAATGTAGTGCACAAAAGTTGATGCGAGTTGCACACTTACACTATAAACTGTAACATTTAGTAAGTCGCATGTAAAGCAGCAAATTTCACTAAAATATACCATTACAAAACATCACCCAGAAAGAGAAAGGTAGAAAAGGAGAAACAAACACCTTTAACTCCTCAGACATCAATTTATTATTTGTATTCTGAATTCCACGCTTCACAGCAATTTTGACAACTAGGCTCTTTTCCCACAGCTTGATTATAGCAGCTGCCAAGCCCTGATGATTTCTGTTTCTCCCTATGAGCAAAAGAGCAGGATGAAAATTAATTTTCAAAATAGACATATCAAATTTTATACAGTACTGAAAGAAGGTGAATATTACCAAGAGCAAAATGACAAGGAAGCGATTTAGCAAGTTTCCGTAAGTTCGTCATCTCAGCATTAGTTAGTCCTGATCGCATTCCAGTAGGAAGAAGCCTGAAAGGTGTTTTGTAGCCAGGAATTTCCTTAGGAAGTAGATCAGCATCAACAGGAAGCACTCCAGTACCCCACCAATCTTCAAAACGTGGACCTAAACCATCCAGCAGGCTATTGAATTCAACTTCCTCTTCTGTCATGCTTTCAACACGGCCTGGGAAAACTGGGTAGCTCTTTTCCAGAATTGAACTAGCACCAGCATTATGAGTTATTGGGTTGTCAGAAGAAGAAACATCAGGGACAAAAAGAGTTTTGTTGTCTCCATCAGTGGGTTGAGATCTTGATGATGGCCCTTCATATTTACTTCCTCGAAACACCACCATAACACTTCCAGACCTCCATGTAACCACTCCTCCTGTTCTACGCTGACCAGCACAAGAGGTTGTTAGCAGCAACTTCTCAATTATATTCAAATATGTTTGATTATCATACAAGCAAAACAGCAAGCAACTAGAACAAAACAGCAAATGACGAAAGCAACTGAAAGTTGTGGCATCTAGACTAAACATGAAACAAAAGCTAAGGCCAGAGATGATGTACTGAGTTAAAATGCAGTTATTTAAGACAAACATATTCCTAAAAGAACTCACTATTAACTTTCTTAAACATGTCAACTCAGCAAACCTTAACCTCACTACTTGAGACCAACTACATTGATCCATCTTCTCCTGTCATCTTTTTGGTAAAGCAATATACTCAGTTCTGGGCCCCTTTGTCATGGTCCCAACCCATGCTCTTCGTAGCCTTCTTCTTTTCCTTTTGGCACTTCAACTTGGATCAAACCAATCCATACCAGTGTGTTAACTAGCCAATGTCACACTTGCACATGACCAAACCCTCTCGAATAAGTTTAACCTCATTTTATGTATAAGGATTAAGGAATTCATATATTGTCCCTTTCCTTGAACGCCACCCTAAAAATCTCTATCTAAAAATTTTATATGATTTTTTTAAGCATGTTTATTAACTTTTGGCCATTCTATACTAATTACTAAACAACATACTTGATCTAGAAGCTCTCTTATAACTTTTCTCTTAACTTAATAAAAATAGAAACTTTACCAAGTGGCCTGAGTGCAACAATTTTGTGCAAAAAAAGCTAAAGGTTAGATCAATATCCAAACAAACCCATCCCAGACTCCCATTTGAACCTCTAATGAGGAATACTATTTTGAGGTCTCAAAGTGGGTTTGTGAAGACCGAGAAATCCTAAATGTAATGTTAACTGCAAATGAGGCATTGAAGGAGTATAGGTAATTAGGTATAATGATATTGAAGGAATAATTTTTAAGATTGATTTTAAGAAGGCATATGACCCAACTGGATTGAGAATTTTTGGATATCACTTCAGAAAATAAAGGTTTTGGGGATAGATGGAGAAAATGGATTATTGGTTATATGACTTCACCTACTTTTCAGTGATTGTTAATGGAAAGCTAGGGAGATATTCAAAGCTTCTAGGGGCTTAAGACAAGGGAACATTTTATCTCCTTTTTTATGTACACTAATGGTTGAGTTTTGAGCAAGTCGGTGATGAGGACCGAGGAGGCTGACTAGTTGAAGGATTTGGGATTGGAAGAGATGTTTCTATTCTCATTTACAGTTTGCAAATGATACTAAGTTCTTTTTATCAAGTGATGACCAGAAAGTGATTAATAATTTAATATGCACTCAATTGTCAACAATTCCAAATTGATTTTGGGATTGAATGTCAATATCTTTGGTCTCATTGTCAAATACACGTAAGAGCTTGAGTGGAGCAATGGATTTTCCTATCGAAAAATGGCCATTGACATATCGGAGTTTTCTTTTAGGTGGGAATCGTAGGGCCGAAAGTTTTTTGGATCCACCGGTTGGCATAATGGAGAAAATGTTAGATTGGTAGAAAAAAAGTATATTCTCAAAAGGGGGCAGCTTACGGCGTTGACAAGCATTTTCCAATACTAAAGGTCCCCTTTTAAGATTCCATCAAGTGTTGCAAATAGAATTGAAATGATGATGAGAGATTTTTTGTGCGAGTGGTGGCGAATCGAAGGACGACCACCATGTCAAGAGGCAATTTGTATCTCGCACTAGGAGTAAAAAAGGATTGAATGTTGGCAACATGATCGCTATGATTAGAAGTAAATGTGTTATAGGATAATGGATAAGATTCTCACGTGGTCAATTAGGAGATTGCTCGTGAAAATCTCTCTCCAAAGTGGCCTTTATTCTCTCAATTCCTAAAGTTTTCTCTCGCTTCCAGAGTAGCCTCTTTTCTCTTAGTTCCTAAAGTTTATTGCTATTTCTTCATTATATCGCTACTTTATTATCATAATGTGCCAATTGTTTCCTTGATATTGTCCTATTCTTTTCTTACCAGTTCAAATTTTAATTTCAGAAGGAATCTTAATTTATCTTTTGATAAGTAACATAAATTTTATTAATAAAAAGAACAAAAGGAATCTTAATGACCGGGAGGTTTATGAGCTTTCATCTATTTTATCGTCCTTAGATGGTGTCATACTCAAATAGTCTAACTTTGATGAGAGAGAGTGGACCATCCTTTCTTTAAGGTATCTTCTTATTTTTAAATTTCTTTTTTGACGTCTTGATTGATGATTTTAATTTACCACAATTTGGCCCATCTAAAATGATTTGAAAAGAAAAGGTGCCTACAAATGACTGACTTCAAAAAAGAAGAGACCATCTCTCCACGTTCCTCAAATTGCCTACTATGAATAAGAATATTGAGGCGAATATTGAACAATTTTACTCCATTGTCTGATTACTTTGCCAATCTAGAATCAACTATTTGCATATGTTGAGTTATTTTGGATCCATCCGTCTTCAAGCATTGCAATTCCTGAGATTGATTTTTGGGGTCTTGGGAAAAAGCAAGAAAGCTCAGGCTCTATTTTATTCAAATGTCTAGTAATCATAACCTTTTGGGTATTATAGTTATAAAGAAATATAAGAACCTTTGAAGGCAAGGGTGAAGAGGAGAATTATCTCCTCATTTGGTGGGGATTCCTTTATTCTTTTACTAGGACATATTGGAAATGTGTATCGGAATCTTTATTTTCTTTCCTTTCTTTTTTATGCTTTGATGTACTACTCGTCCTTGTAATGTTCTATCATTAATTAAACAATGTTAAGTGTGGATTTTTTTTTAAGTTTACGAAAGTACACAACAATTGAAAAGCAATAATCTATTTCTTCTACCCTACTTTTTTTCTTAATCTCCTCTTCCTTATGGACACTCAAACCCGGATCACACAAATGTATATCTCATCATGGTCTTCCATCATTGTAAGTTTATCATGGGATTTTGAGATTGATTAGTCCACACAGAATTCAGTGGTAACTTATTTAAGCATGTGATGCCATGAGGTAGGATACCCGTAAGTTCCAAGATTCTATTATGTGAGGGATTTATCGGACATAAAGATGATTGGGATTTGCATAAGATACATTAGATAAGAGTTATCTATTCAATGAGGATTAATATAACCAAGATTCTATTATGTGATGTGGTATTAATTCAAGATGAGACTCCAATCCCCACTAAGAAATAAAACAAATTTCCTAAATTCCATAACAAGGCATATAGAATTTATTAAAGAATAGTGGGAGGAACCATTACGATTTAAAGACCTAAAACTAATGGTTTAAAATGAAACTACTAATACAGATGATTTATTTTCAGATCACCATGGCAAATAACGTCTTATCCAAAATCCTTAACACCAACCGTTTGACCGACCCTAACTTCCTAGATTGGAAGAGAAACTGTCGAGATATCTTGTATCCTCTAAGGACATACCTTCAAAAGGTATGTCAGATATTCTCTTTATTGAGACTGGTTTATCAATCAATTATGCTTTAACATGGGTATTGGATACCATTGCTAGTTCTCACATATGCAATTCGTTGCAAGAACTAAAGGAAATCAGAGGACAAGTGACCCTTCGGGTAGGAAATGAAGCAAGCGTTGTTGCATTAGCTATTGGGACATGTTACTTACCATTGCCATTTGGTGTTATATTAGAATTAAAGGATTGTTTATTTATGCCTAGTATTGTAAGGAACATTATTTCTATTTTATCACTTTTTAAGGATGGCTATCGATTTGTTTTTGAGAAAAACGTGTTTCTTTACTCTCAATTCCAATTTGATTGGATCTGGTATATTTATGAATGGTCTTTATTTCTTAACCACAAATGGCAATGTTAATAATATTGAGCATGTAGATCTGAATGCCATAACTCATAAAAGACCAAGAGATGATAATAATCCTAGCTATATGTGGCATCTCGGATTGGGTCATATTAGTGGAGATTCAATTTGCAAGTTAGGTCCATGGGCTTATGAAGCTCCATTTTTAGTACATGGTGAAAGAGCTACAGACATATTAGGATTAATACATAGTGATGTATGTGAACCAATTAATGCAATAGCCAATGGAGGTTTTTCTTACTTCATAACTTTTACCGATGATCATTCACGGTTAGGGTATGTGTACTTAATGAAGTAGAAAAACAAACTGGCCAAAGTATTAAAACTCTTTTGATCTGATCGAGGAGGTGAATACGTAAGTACTAAATTTTTGGATAATCTTGAGAAAAATGACATTCTATCACAATGGACTCCTCCTGGAACACAACAACTTAATGATGTGTCTGAAAGGAAAAATCAAACACTATTAGATACGATTCGATCAATGATGAGTTACACTAACTCAACTATCTCTTTTTGGGATATGCCCTTGAGACCGCAACATTCCTATTTAATAGGGTATCTTCCAAATTTGTCCCTAAGACACCATATGAGATATGGTAACGGAAGAAATCAAGTCTTAAGCATGTTAAGATTTGGGATTGTCCAGCACATGTTAAGAAACATAATGTGGACAAGCTAGATGCTAGGCCTGAAAGATGTAGGTTTGTGGATTATCCTAAACAATCTTTAGGATATTATTTCTACCTTCCTACTGAACAAAAGGTGTTTGCTAGCAAGTTTGTTGTCTTTCTTAAAAAAGAGTTTATTCAAGAAGAAAGGCAAAGGTAGAAAGATAGATCTTGAGGAATTGTCCTCAGAACCACAAATAGTTACTGATCAGCCTGAACCCCCTATTCATATTGCACCGATATTGTACACACCTCTACGTAAATCTTCTAAGGCATCCGCACCATCTATTAGATATGGTTATCTACACTAAGGATGTGTGAAATTTTTAATTGATGATAATGATCATCATACTGATCCTAGAAATTATATAGAGGCGATGTCAGACACTGATTTGGGAAAATAGCAGGAAGCTGTGAAATCAAAGATGGATTCTATGTACTCCAACCAATTCTAGACTTTGGTTGATCCACCTCAAGGTATTGTACCTATAGGCTATAAATGGATCTTCAAACGGAAGAGAACGTCAGATGGAAAGGTAGAGATATACAAAGCACAGCCAGTGGCAAAAGGTTTCAAACAAAGGCAAGGAGTTGATTATGATGAAACTTTTTCACCAGTAGCTATACTAAAATCCATCAGAATTATGCTTGCCATAGTTGCACACTATGACTTTGAGATATGGTAGATGGATGTCAAAACCGCCTTCTTTAATGGAAACATTGAGGAAGAAATGTAAATGGAACAATCAGAAGATTTTCAATCAAGTGGCAAAAGTCACAAGGTGTGCAAGTTGCAAAGATCCATATAAGGATTAAAGCAAGCGTCCCGAAATTGGAATATCCATTTTGATGAGGCAATCAAATTGTTTGGTTGTCTCCAAAACATGGATGAACCCTGTGTGTACAAAAACGTTAGTGGGAATGCTCTTACATTCTTAATACTTTATGATGATGACATACTACTCATTGGGAATAACATATGTATGCTCTCATCGGTTAAACTCTGGCTCTCACAAAACTTCTCCATGAAGGATTTGGGTGAAGCATCCTCTATATTGGGTATAAAGATCTATAGAGATAAATCTAGAAGGATTCTAGGTTTATCCCAATCCTTGTACATAGATAAAGTGTTAACCAGAATTAACATACAGAATTCCAAGAAAGGTTTCTTACCTTTTAGGCATGGAATTCATCTCTCTAAGGACACGAGTCCTAAGACACAAGATGAAAGAGAGAACGTGAGTCAAGTTCCTTATGCTTCAGTAATAGGAAATGTCATGTATGCAATGCTATGTACAAGAGTTGATATTAGTCATGCTATAAGAGTTACAAGTCGTTATCAGTCTAATCCTGGTTTTGAACACTGGAATCTAGTCAAGAACATTCTTAAGTACTTGAGAAGAACTATGAATGTATTTCTTGTCTACGGAGGAGGAGAGTTACGAGTAGATGGTTATCCAGATTCAGATTTTCAATCTGATGTGGATGATAGAAAATCCACTTTTGGATTTGTATTCACCTTAAATGGTGGAGCAGTCAAGTTGGACGAGTTGTAAACAAGATACAACAACGGATTCCACTATTGAGGCCGAGTACATTGCCACTTCTGAAACTACCAAAGAAGCTGTTTGGATCAAAAAAGTTCATTACTGAACTTGGAATAGTTCCTACCATTGGGTTACTTATACCGTTGTATTATGACAACAATTGGGCAATAGCTCAAGTCAAGGAACCTAGGTCTCATCAAAAATCCAAACACATTGAGTAGCGTTTCCACATGATTATAGAGATCATTGGAATAGGTGATGTGTATCCAAAAACTTGCATCATTGGATAATTTAGCAGACCCACTTACGAAAGCACTGACACAACAGCAGCTAGATCGACATCTTAAGAAAGATGGGTTTGATCCGTCTTAGTGCAAGTGGGAGATTGTTAATAGTATGCCCCGAGACTAATCAAATTGATGTAATTGGGAATGTACTAACAATATTCATTATCTATTTTATTCACACAAGGCAAGTTTATTCATATCATGATATTGTTTTTATATTACAAACATGATATAGTTCATAGAATTTAAGTTAAAAAGATATTTTCTCAAGTGTTAAAAAGAGGCGACTTATACTTCTTAATACTTAACTCTTAAATGTTCCTATTCATAGGATTACTATTTGGGCGATAAGTAATCCGGACAGAATAGCATACACTATACTTATTCATATATGATATGAAGTAGCTCGTCTCAAGTCACTACTGTAGAGACACAAAAGCAAGTGTATAGGTGCTTGTTAAAGAACAAATACACTAAGCATGACCATTGATATGGGATATTACATATAGATTTTTACATACTCATCAACGTAAATCCTAAGTTACAATTATACTTGTGGTCCTTAGACCTGAGACACCATAGTTGTTTTGTGTATGTGTTTCTATACTTTAACTCTACAACACATCCATATACTACCCATGTGTTTAGACTAGTATTGTTAGGTATAATTAAACATATGTAGAGACTTATGAGTGTACATCATGGAATCTATCACTCTTAGTAAAAAGAGAGTATGTCCTATGTGATCTTCTTGGATATCACTCATGTAATCCTTGGCCAAGGCAAAATAATAATTCGAAAGAGTTTCTAATTGGTCATTAAGAGTGTTACTCCTAAGATCGAACACACAATATTGAATTAGAGATTTGACAATAAATCCATACCTTAGTAATTCAATTAGGGCATTGCATAATAGAATGATTGAACTGTATAACAACTGTTTACTGAATGGGTTCTTTACCTTCGTGCTGTTCGGAGGTTGATCATGATATGCTGCTATGTGTCACTCATGAGATTAGTAGAAGTCCAAAGAATAAATTATATTTATTGTTATAAGGGACAATTAAAAGCGTTTTAATTCAAATTAAATTAAAATGAGTTTTAATTTGAGATACTATTTAGAGATAGTATCTAAGTCCTACAACCGGGTATGCTTGAATCTATAGGGTCACACATAATAGAATTTATTAGAAGCTAATGGATATAGGAGAGAAAAACCAATTTAGAGTTAATTGGGATAGATACCTAATTAAGAGTTAATTAGGGATTTATCATTATTGATGATAAATAAAAAGGATCTTAGTGTGACTCTTCATTCACATACATCCTCGATATACATAAAGAGAGGTGGGTAGCCTATTTCAAGGGACTTATCATATCATAGTTCAAAGTCACAGTATCGGTCATTGACTTGGAGGACGCTAAGACACATCAGTCGCGGTGTGGTATCGGCAGATACGCTTAAAACGTTAGATAGAAGACCCAAAAAAAATTTAAAAAATTATGAAAAATTTTAAAAATATGTAAATATCATCATTCATGCATTATATCCCAAAAATACATTATTTAACATATTAAACATAATAAAAATGAATTATAAGGACGCTACCGAAAATATTTATCATCATTTATGTTGAATGTTTTTATTTAAGTACACACTAAAATTTAAACATATTATTAGAATTTTTTTTAACTTACAAGTACCTAATTTTTTAAAAAAATTAAAATAAAAACAAGAACAACGAATATGTATCTATCAATTATAAATTTGACAAGTACAAGTAGATCTCAATACTTTAAATGAATAATTATGTGTTTAATTAATAGATTAATAATTCATTGTCCTAATTTAATTTTTTTTTTCCAATTATTTTTTCCCAATAATTTATTAGTTGAATTAGAAATTTTCCCTACATAAGGAGTAAGAGCCAATAAAATATAAACGGACGCACACATGTGATCAAAACCAAAAAAAGGGGTGTGGGTCTGTGACTGTGTTTTTCCATACTTGCCTTTCAGTCACCAGTGAGAGAGAAGGGTGGGGGGGAAGAAGAGAGCTCTATCGAAGCGAACAGTGAGCGAGAGGCGAGTAGTGAGAGATTGGCGAACTACAACTATGCGATTGACAATTTTTCGAGCAGTGGAGTCTCAGACGATGCGACTGAAGATTGACAATTTGTGATCTACGATGGGTCTCCCCTGAAAGAAGAAGAAGAAGAGTCCCTCTAGTCAAGGTGATTCTTCGATTTTGTAGGTCTTCTTATACTTCATCTCTTCCTTTTTTTTTTTTTTTGGAATTTCCTCAATATTGATGGACTATTTTGTGCGAATCTGCCGAGTTGGAGCCGACTCACTGTGATTCTCGGCTATTTTGTTCTTCCTTTCTCTTTTTTTTTTTTTTGGATTTTTGCTGCCCAGATTTTTCAAAGCTGGTAGCACCATAGCGGTCCGACTCGGTTCAACTCGACCGAGTCCAACCGATTTAGCTCCTAGTTGGGCCAATACTACCGAATTGTAACCGAGTCAACACAGATTCAATTGAATCTCGTTATATTGGTGTAACGTGTATCGTTATCGGATCGGCATCTGCTGAGACGGATACGACTTGACCGAGTTGACTCGGACTCGGCCGATACTTTGGACCATGTATCATATTATCTCTTGCTAGCACAAGAGTTCTCTCAATATATACACCTCTATATATTTCTATCTAGTTTTTATAGTGTTGAAAACTAGGTCTAGATTCAAGAGTTGAATCTTATTTTCATCAAGAGTTGAAGACAAATAGTTTGTTAATTCCTGTGGACACCAGTAGAAGCCAAATACATGTGAGGCTCGGGGTAAAGATGTTGTTCAAGTTTGTAGATCCAATTTCGTGAAAACTTGAAGTTTGTTAAAGCACGTTTCAAAGGTAATACACTAAATCCTATCTATAGATCTTAGATCTAGTATTTTACGATTTGAATTAATTTGACCATGGATAGATCTTGTGATAAAGGAATTGAAATTTTTAAACTTTTGCTGCTATATTATATCAATTCCTTTCAAATATTACAATAATAAAGATATATAAAGGTATGCATGTATGTATGATGCAGGAAGATCCAACCATTTGTCCCAAAAACAGCGACTTGTGGAAGAGGCAGAATCAATTCCTTTACCCTACAGCCTACGTTCCAGTGAATCAGGGCAGACCAACATCATTGCAAGGAATGATGCTCTATACCAAAGAAGCCCCTGCATCATACATCTACATTGGAAGAGTCTTGAACCCAAGGCCTCTCGCTTTGATACCATTTAACGCAGGAAGACCCAACCATTCATCCCAAAAGCTGCGACTTGTGGGAGAGGTGGAATCAATTCCTTTATCCTATAGCCCATGTTCCCTTCAATCGGGGCAATCCCAAATCAATGCGGGAAATGATGCTCCAATCCTAAATGCTCCTGCATCGATGTATGTATATATTTGTTTTAGTTGGTTATCCTACAACCATTTGACTCTACAGAATCTACAATTGTTCTAATTTAGGATTAACCTCAACTCTAGTTTTGTCAATTACAAATAATTCTTGAGCAAATATCATACAATCGATTACCTCACGCTAGATATGCAATTCACCCAAAGTTGATGCAGAAAGAGTACATTGAACACAATTCTGGTTTTAGCATAAATGAACTTCCCTTGTCCCAATATACTCAAACTAGTTACAACTCCATTGTAGATGCAACTAACCACTTATTCATAGTCACAACAATATGTAAATATATACATAAATATATATAATTTATGTTCCTTTCTTCACCCTCCACATTATATCCCAAAGCCATTGTGATATACTATTTATTACAATTAACACCGCATACATGTCTTTCTTCTTTTTTCTATATTTTTAAGGAATTTCCTAATAAGACTACAACTCCCATTGTAAATCAATCTACAAGATAAAACCTTATTTCATGTCATTCTCTTTTCTCAATTACATCTTCATTGTTTCATCGTGTCACTCATAACCCTAATAAAAAAATAATTATTGTCTTAAATATCATACTTGTTCTTGTATAGAGGAACAGAACGGTTTTGCATTAAGTAGATGGTTTGATTTGTAAAATCTTGTTGAACAAAGTACTCATCTAACGAGTGTGTGTAAAATCTAGAATCAACAATACCAACGATAATGAAATACGACATGCATAAACCACCGGGTATATCTACCAAGTGCTTCAGAAATAAATTTACTGAAGAATCATCATTACCTTGAAGGGGTGCTTTGCCAACTTTGCAAACAAAATTGATGTTAACCTCCTTGATTTTTGAAGGAAACAAAGATTACTCACATCCAATGTTTTGAACAAATGAAATTATATTTTTGTAAGGTTGTTTCCTTTCCTTTGTCTCTATGTATAATTTGCGTAAATACTCCCCCTTGGTGCCCCTCAGTGAAGCATTTTTAGCTTCTTTTTTTTTTTTGGTGAATAACATTTTACACCCTAAAATTTTTATATTCTCCCCTTGCACGCTCAAACAGATAAAAAAGTATTCAATGTGGCTATTTATTTAGTGTAATATTTTCATGTAAAAGACTAAAAATCTAGTAATATACAAGTGATTGAGTACAAAAATAGAAAGATAAAAAAACAAATCTACAACAAAACATCTGTTGAAAAAAGCAATAAACATGTGATTTTGGACCACATTGTTATCTGTTCATCTAATTAAGGATGGACTATGAGAATTTTAATCTTTTAGAGCGTAAATTAAGAATTTGAAGATATTTTAGGCTGCAAAATGTAATTTAACCTTTCTTTTATGAGGTGGGTGTGTGGGGGCTAGTGAGGCCAAGAAAGTTTTAATGAAGGGCACCCATTTTTCAAAATGGTGTTTTGCATCATAATTATCAAATCACGTATCGGAAGGCGTATCGTTTTTTTAAAATAGTGCATCGTATCATACCGTGTATCGTAAGATACACGCAATTTTAATTTTTAAATAATTATTAATAAAAAAAAAAAAAAAATATATATATATATATATATATATATATACCTTTGTAAAAAAATCACTCGTAACAACATAGTATTTCATTAATATTTCACCAACTATTCAAGTTTCCAATATAGTTCAGTAATATTAAAATGCAAAAATCTCTAATTCAAACTTCTAACATCAACTACTTAAACAACCTTCATAATAATCAAGAATTTTGAATTCAATTAAATAACATTAACAGCAAATTTTATTTTTGTTTTAAATCATAACCACTGAAACGACGTTGTTTCACTGGGTAGTGATTTAAAAATAAATCCTAGGATAAAACGATGTCATTTCAGCCCAAAAAAACTAAAATAAAAATAAAATACTAAAATCGTCACATATCGGACGTATTGTATCGTGTATCGTACGATACGGTGTAAAAATAATACAAAGACAAAATAAGTATCCTTTTTTTAGTGTTGATACGTATCGTACAATACTAATAACTATGTTTTGCGTAAGATGAAAAATGGTGATAGAAGATATGGTCATGTTGTTCATACTTGTATACTATCCAATTACAAAAAGAAATCCGATAAACTCATTCTGATGCACATCTGGTGAAAACCATGCATATGCAACAAACACAAACCATAATGAAGTTACAACATTCAACTCAAAATAGTAAAGTGGACAATTTTTTCAAAATCTTGGAGTCAACTAGATGCATACTGCGTAAATCACAATTTATTGGCAAATAAACAAAATGTAATTAACAACCAATTACAACCAGCCAACTCGAGTGTTTTACAGAGTTCAAAATAATATTTTTCATGCTTTTCTTTTTGGTCATCAACTCTTAACTAACACATAAATACAACATGCATCAAATAATGACAACAACAACAGCAACCAAAATATCGATAATATTTTCAACTCATTTGATGAGGATGATGAATGAGCTAAACTAATGAAGGTAATAATATCAGGCTGCAACAGCAAGAATTTTAAAAACTAAGAAGCTAAGGAGCAGCATCCAATATCATTGATATCACAATGCACCAATAAATAAACCACGCAAAGATCAACCACAATGCCACAAAATTCTTATAAGAAACTTCATATCATAAATCGTCAGTCCACCCACCTCAACAATCTCATGTGCCGTCTTCATATCATGCGCCAATGTCTCGTGAAATTTCAACCTCACCAACTCCAACTTCCTCCACTTCTCGTGAATCTTCTCGAGCACCACCCCTGTGACCCCCGCCTTTGGCACACTAATCCTCTCCCTTAATGTCATCCCCTGCCTCCTCAACCTCCTCAACTCCTCATCCTCAATTGTCAATTCCGCCAATGTTGGAGCCTTCACCATCCTTCTCTTTATCCCTTTCTCTCTTTCCTCCACCTCCACCTCCACCTCCTCTCTCTCCCATGGCAAAACCGTACTATCCTCTTCCTCGACTAGCATTGTATCAGGTCGAACCCAATCTCTCCTCAACAAATCGCCCAGTTTCTCTTCACCCGTCACAGGCATTGTCAAATTTATCTCATTTTCTTCATCAAATTCTTCTTCCTCGTCATCAGACCCCAACCCTAAATTTCGCAACCGAAGCACTATTCTATCAATTGAACTAGTCCCATTTCTACTATTTCCATCAAAATATGGGCTTCCGGGCCGATTATTGAGTTTCGAATCAAGGGTTTTCAGGGTTTTGGAATTAGATTCTTTTGGGGGGTTGGGGGAGGGCCATTTCTGAAGCCAAGAGGTAGAGTGGGGTTTGGATTTAGAGGGGGTAGGAATAGGGTTTTGGGGGGGTTTGCCCGGGGTTTTGGTGGTTGCACGGAGGGAAGAAAAGGGTTTGAGGAGGAGAGAAACACAGGGTCTTCCAGAAGGAAACGAGATAAGGAGGAAGCGTGGTGAGTGACAAGTGAGTGGGATTGTGTTGCGCAATGGTAGTTCCGTTAGTTTCACTGTTGTTATCGCCATTGTAGCTATCTTCTCTCAATTACATGCCTTCATGGTGCACCAGGCCTAGAGAGAGAGAGCGCGACTGTTGGTAGTTTCGGTGGGGGAAGGTCGGAAGATGATAAGATTATGAATCGGTTAATTACCGTAGAATACCTGGAATGAAGTGCGGGTGTGCAATGTCTACCCGTTGGCATTTTCTAGCCGACCCGTTCTTCTTGATGAGTAAATATTAATGATTACTCCACCTATAAAATTTTATGGATTCACTGGTCTTTCAAATTTATTTATAATTAATTGGCAACATCACCTAATGGAAACAGTGTAGTGTAGTGGAGCTTTTCACTAAACCATGTCCCTCAAAAACTTTTTTTCTAAAATCAATCACTTTTAAACTTATTTTTTAAACTCAATCACTTTTTGAAAACGTAAGTTCAAATGATGCATTCATAGTTAAAAAAATCATTAAAAGAGAAAGACTTAATCAAACTTGAACAAAATCTGACTTATTAACTTCTAAATGCGTTGTTACAAATACATTTTTAAAGGTGTCATTTATAGTGACGTCTTTAAAGAGTCTTTTAAGTCATTTCCTAACGATGTTGTGTTAAACATAAAAATGTCACTCTTAATGACGTCTATAAAAAACTAGAACGAAATCTGACTAATTAACTTCTAAAGGTGTCATCACGAATAACATTTTTAAAGACATCATTTATAGTGACGTCTTTAAGAAGTCTTTTAAGTCGTTTCCTGACAGTGTTATGTTAAACATAAAAATGTCAATTTTAATAACGACTTTAAAAACGTCATTAAAAATGACGATTTATACAAATAAAATCATATTCAACTTTCCCAAACGCATAAGCCCTGGGTGCAAATTTTCCAAAATCTATCATCCCTTGTACCACACCATCTCCTCCTTTAATCACTCATCATCTTCTCTGACGACAAATACCACTCCGACGACTACAGCTCACTCTGGCGACAATTGTTTATCTCCGATGTTGCTCTCTCTCTCTCTCTAAAAGTCACTTTTTCAAGATCCCTCCTATCTCGAATCACCTTCTCCTCTCCTCTGCCTACTCATACTCATCTTCGACGACTTAGAGCAATCCAACAACAAAGAACACACCCACAACCATGCCTAACTCTGGTAAGCTAACACATCTCTAGCATTGTTCTCTCTTCTCTCTCTCTCTCCCTTTCTATCTATCTAGGATTTTACTGTGAGAACGGTTGCTTGTTCCAATTTGATAAACTTAGGAGAGTTTCACTGTCTATAGAGAATAAGTTCAACCTATTCTAAGATAAATATTACTAGATTAGTGAGCTAAACTGGATTATTCTCTAGATTAGTAATGTAGCAGGAACTTTTAGGACACCATTGGCCTTGTCACCTAGAGGTATCCAGTAGGGTTTCATAATTGAAACTTGGGGGTTCCCCCGCCCACCAAGTTACTACTCTTGAAAGGAAAAATATAATTGCATTGATGCTTTTGGGAAATACCCAGGAAAAGGGTAATATTTTCAAGACCAGAATTTTCTTGGCAATGTTACTTTTTCCATCAAGTACTTGTGGGGGACATGGGCACTGGGAAAACCAATTGGGTGTTACAATCCATTTAACCTTAATGTATTCACAACACACATAAAGATAGAAACAAAGCAAAGTTCAATCCCATTTCTTTGTCCAAATTCATACATGTTGCTTCTGCTGGTTGAGTTGTAAATGGAGGATAAGAGCACTAGTAAAAGATTTTTTTATTATAGCTATACACCAAACAGAAAGATATTTATTGATTTGAAAGTAATTATACAGTTTGATTGGTGTAGTAGATAAGGGTCCTTGCTAGCACACATAAAGAGAAAGAGAGAGAGAGAGAGAGCGAGAAATAAAAAACACTACCAGGAATGAACCTGTCATATTTTTTGTGTTCCTAATGTACAAAAAAAAAAGACAATCATCCTTGTGTTTCTTCAATGGAAGACAAATGCCCCTCCCATGTTCCTTTTGTTACGTAACTGATATGAGTTCTTTTTTGTAGAGCCTTCCTCTTCTTCATTTCTTTGAAATTGAAAACCTAAAAAAGAAATTATAAAATACAAATTAAATTATCCATTTTTAATGTGTTTGTGTATATGAAATATTACTGACTTTAGGTTTGATGAATGGTCATATTTTTGATATCAAAATGTTGACTATAATATTCTTAGTCAACAACAACATTCCAGTGCTCAACAGAGCTCATCCAAATGTCATTGCAACCACTTGGCTCTTTAACCCCCCCAATCTTCATTTGATTTACCCTTCAATGGTTGAGCATTTAATTAATGTTATAAGCTTATAGTTTATGTTATAAGGTCAAAAGGCATCTAATCTTTATTTTGATGACGTTATTGTAGAATTTTTGCAAATGGTTGGAAGACGTGCATCTATCTTGATTTATTAGGGTGATGATATTATTTCTAACACTGAGGGTATATGTTATGATACTGCTCCTAAACGTGTCATACAGTTAGCTCAAGACACAAGTTACTCGGCATTGGTGGATAAGTTGCATGATGTGATGAGGATATATATCAATAAATACAATATGAAGCTCATTTTTAGATTCTCTTGTACAATGGGACACAACATGACAAAATATATGGAATTATAAATTGTTGACAATGTTGGATGTTGTATTTGGCAATGAAGTTGTTGATAATGTGAAGTTATATGTGAAGCAAGAGGTTCGGTCTAATGGCATTTACGAAAATTCAAATGGTTGGTCTGATGGTGGTCATTAATCTTCACTTCCAACACAAGAAGAATATACCCCAACAGTTCAACCTTCCAGCATAACAAATGACTATTGCACCCCATTGCTAATGTAGTGTATGAAAGAATACAATCAATATGGTAATGCACCCACATATTCTAGTCCTTGCACCTATGCCAAATGCTCATCTCAAATACACCATAGTGCTACAATGGGTAACGAGATGATGGATATGGTTGCAGCCAACCTTAGGTTGGCGTCTGTAGACCTTGTGCAAGAACTGTTATTGCAACAAACTTGTAATCCTGCATATGAGCAAATGCGTGCTAATGACCGTAATGAGGATTCCAAATAAGAAGTGCAGAAGGAATTAGTAATGAATGACTTTGATGATAGCGTTGATTATTCTGTTGAACCCGAGCCACATTTTCATATGCACGAGTCTGAGTCACCCTTCTTTACAAACAGTGACTAGAGTTTGCAATAGGTGTTCAAACAGTGACTCGAGTTTGCAATAGGTGTTGCAACAATAATGAAGTCATAGATTTTGCAAGTTGCACGAATTGAAAGCATGAGATCCAACAAAACCTGAATTTTCGAAGGGTCTTATATTCCCAAACAAAAAATAATTGGATATGACAGTGAAATTGTGTTCACTCAAGATGCATCAAAAGTACGTTGTTATGGGTACAAACAAAAATAGATAGGTTTTGAGGTGCAAGATGCATCAAGAATATGGATGCAAGTGGAGGCCACATGCGTGCTTAAGGGCCAAGCGTAGAATGTTTGAGATCACAAAGTACGAATGATTTCACACTTGTTTCTACCAAAGGATGAATCAGGGCCGCTGTAAGCTTGATACAGAATTTATATCCTAGTTGATTGAGGATGTTGTTCGGGTTACAACGGAAATAACAATTCATGTTATCATAAAATTGGTGAAAAAAGAATATCAATATGAAATAATGTACAAAAAGGTGTGGCATGCGAAGAACAAGGCCATTGCAAAGGCTTTCGGCGACTGGAATTCTTCTTACAACATCTTGCCCAAGTTTACAGGCGCCCTTGTGAAGTATAACCTAGGGATGATTGTAAGGTGGCAATACGATGAGCATGTTGCCAACATAGTAATATTTATCAAAGTGTTTTGAGCTTTCAAAGCTTCCATTGATGAATTTGTTCATTGTTGGCCTGTAATTAGTATTGATGTCACCTTTGTAAATGGCGAGTATAAGCATAAGCTTCTGGTTGCAATAGGTGTTGATGCTTATAAACAACACGTATAAGTATGACTGAACACTCTGTGAAGGTCCTCGCATTGCTCATGGTCTCTAAGGCATTGGAGTCTCAGTACTTTTATCAAAAGAGTCCTACTAGATGTTCTACCAGTAGGAGAAGATATAGAAGTCTTAGAAATTCCTGTCAGACAGAGAACTACCAGTAGGTCTGCTATGCTACCGGTAGGTCAGGGTAGACATTCCCCGGGAAGCTTAATTAAAGATCAGATTTTTTCGAATCTTTTAGGGATTCTCTACCAATAAAGTTGGGAGATAATTTTGGGATTGATCTTTCAAAGAAGCTGGAGATTTTCTTTCCTAATCACTATAGATAGAGACTCTTTGGTGATTTGAAGGGAGACGTCGTTCACAGTTTTACATAGGTTTTAGGAGTTTTCTTTTACAGAGTTTAGGGTTTGTTCTACAAAATTTCATTCAAAGTTTAGTCTTTCATTTATTTGTTTGTTAAAAAAATATTAAATTTCAATTATCTTTACTTTCAAAGCTTTGTTATTTATATTCGGTTTTTCAATACAAGCACTCAATTTCAATTATGTTATTTACTTTTTTATATTTAATTATGTCTTCATCTAAGATTTACGTCATTTTCGTGATCATTAGTGAGTAGTCTTCTTCTGGATGATCTGAGGAAGGAGTCCAAAATCGATGAGTTAGGGCGTATGCCTTAAATTAGGGTTTTAATGTTTATTGGATTAATGGGCTAATCTCAACTTGTACCCCCAAAAAATCACTCGAATCTCAATTTGCACTCTCAAAGTTTAAAAATATCAATTTCTACCCTAAAATAGATAAATTTGTATGAATATGCACCTAGGGCTAATTGCCGTCCATTTTTGCCGTTAAAAAAGTTTGGACTAATTATAAATTGAACCCTCAAATTTTAAATATTTCATATTTATGAACCAAACAATATTTTTTCCATTAATATTCATTAAATAGTTCTCAATTGTGTCGTGTGGTAACATTTTTATGTGTTTTCAAATCACTAAAAAAAATTATTAAAAGAAAAATTATAAAACACATATTTTTTTGCCTATAATACTCGTTAAAGTGAAATCGTGTAATTTGTATCTAA